TTCATCCTCCGGGTGCTCGATGCTAAGTAGCTTCTTCACACACTCGTGCATAATGCGTTCTGTCAACATCCCTAGCTTGTACAGCTCGCCGATGAACTCGATCAGAGCGAGAGCCTGTTGCTTTGCCTTCTGCGCGGCGTAGTATTCGTCCGACTCGGAATGCAGAACAATCTCGTCGCTCTCTGCAGCAGCAGCCTCTGTAACGTCCTCCGAGGATTTTGATGCCGCAGTTGTAGCTGTGGCGTCCCTCAAAACCCAACCACGCTCGAAATCCTCTTGGCAGCGGTTCAGGAGGTATTTACGGAAAAGCTGACTACCCACAATCGGCTTTCCGTCCGCATTCTTAACACCGTCATCCTGCACCTTTGGGCTGATCTGCTCCATCATCTTTCTAGAGAGACGCGCGTACATCTCAGACCACCTCGCGTCATCCGTCGCATGTTCGAACACGCGTCGAACAACCTGGATGAGTGTCCGCCCGTCCTTCTCCTGCTCCGACTTGTTCGCCCAGTCGATGATTTTGTCAGAGATGGAGTCGAAGCTCTCCATCGTGAGCTTGTTCAGCAAGGCCTTGACTTTGCGGCCAATTAGCTCGGGCGAGTCCGCATCTACTGCGCCAACAGTCTTCCTGTCCCATCGGGTTGTGTTCGCTTGGAGCGGCGGCAGCTCCTCGAAGATTGACTGGTTTTGTCGGGAGTTGGTACCCTGCGCGAGCTGTGGGTCCTTGTCACACGCCTCGCCACGGTTGCTCCCCAACTGGGAGCCCACACCCCCTTGGCTCGTCAAACGAGTCATCGGCGGCATGCGGTTGAACGGAGATCCAATGCCAGAGATGCTGGTGGACAGATTACTAGACGTCATGTCGAAGCGTTCCTGGGTGGACTCGGAGCCTGGTACAAAGTTGCCCATGGCGTCCAAAACTGCAGCCTTCGACCCGCCAAAGCCAGGGAACCCAACCGAATCGTAGCCTCCAGATGGATGCGAGATGGAAAGCATACGCGCTGCGCGATGTGGACCTCCTCTCGAGTTGGTACGGGGGATCGAATTCTGGTCGACCGGACCGATCCCGATATCATCAAGAGGAGGCAGCCTATCGGGCTTCTCTGTGCAGATCGACATGAATTGGAGGAGAAAATCGCGGTCGTATCTGTCTCGATCATTCAACTTTCTATCCGTTGGATGGGTAAACGTATCACCTACATGAACATTCCGTCTCTCGCGTTGACGTTGAGCTCGTCCTTCGGGGGTCGGATATTTTCGGGGTAAGAAACACGACTGAGGTCGTCAATTTTACGTGCAGTAGCGAGAGCGGAAGGGTGGGTGGCGGGGTTTTTAGGTTTGAAAGTAGTGGAAAGGTCGGCGGGGGCTGGTCGGCGGCGGGCCTCGGCAGGAGCGGTGTCGATCCTGAGGGGGGCTTCTTTTGGCTTGACGGGAGTGGCAAGGGTGTCCTGGTCATCCTCCTTGGGCTCCTCAAGCCGAACCTTCTCTTTCTCCTCCTCCTCCTTCCTCAGTCGCTCCTTCTCCTCAGCCTCGGCCTTCGCCTTGCGCTCCTTCTCCTCAGCCTCGGCCTTTGCCTTGGCTTTCTCCTTCTTCTTCTGCACTTCCTCAGCAATCCGCTTCTTCCGCGCCTCCTTGCTCTCTATCCGAATCTGCACCGACTTGCGGTTATTGTGGCCGGGGCTCCCACCAGCAACCGGCGTCGACGTAGGCGGCGACGTGACACCCGCCGCTGGCGCGGTCGGCTGCGTCTGCTGCTTCAGGTTCTCGAGTTTGATCTCCGTCCCGTCCGCGTTCTTGAGCACAATCTTGCTCTTCGGCCGCGACGTGCTGCCGGGCACGAACGCGCTCGCATTTGTGCTGAGGCGCGCGGAGGAGGGCGTGGGCGGGGGGGTGGAGACGCCGCTGCCGCCGATGCTGCTCGATGACGAGTGGTGCGGGGATAATGGCGGGGGGACGTGGTGTGGGACGGGGACGGCGTGCGCGGGGGTGGGCGTATCGGGGCCGCTGTGTATCTGGATGGGATGGTTCCGGGGCGACATCGGCATGCCCTGGTGCTGCTGCGGGACGGGAGGGGGGGTGTGGTGTTGCATCGGCGGCTGGTGCTGCGGAGGCATGCCGGGAAGCTGTTGCTTGGGGGCGGGCATTCCGTACCAGCCCTGGTACTGCATGTACTGCTGCTGGTCAGGCATAGCCGGCATACCCGGATACTGTGGCGAAACCTTGCGTCAGAAAGAGTAGTAAGGGTACCAGCGTTCAACATACAAAATATTGGTCCAGCCACATCTGAGGCGGCATCTGCGACTGCATTTGAGGCTGCATTATCGGAGGCGGCATTCCCGGCTGGCCAGGATGTAGTGACATTCGCGGGCTGCCCATCCCCGATGACATCTGGGAAGAAGCGCTGGGACCGTTCGGAGGCCGTGGACCATTACCGTTGGTCATCTGTTGGCGAGGAAATCCGGGAGACCGACGACCTCCCGAGCCACCAGCTCCCGAGTTTTGTTGGGGAGGTGGACGCATCGCGTTTTGCGGGGAAAATGGAGTATACGAATGGGCTCCCAGCTGAGATGGTTGTGATGGAGGTTGGGACGGATTTTGCGGCTGCTGCTGCTGAGGAAGAGGAGACGGACGGATAGAAGGGGAGGAGCTCGGAGGATCTGAGGAGGGTGCTGGGTAGGAAGGACTCTGGAGGAACATTCGTACGTCCATTTTATACGGCTTTGCTGGGGTGGCCGCCGGGGTGGAAGGAGGCGGCGTGGACATAGTTGACGCCGAGAGCGGGAGAGTAGCCAGCACTGGGTTTGAACAAGTGTTGAAAAGTGGATTGTAAAGTGGGTGTGGATTCAGCGTGTGCACTGGCAGTAGACGCCGTCTTCCAAGTTTAACGCTGAGGTACCCAAGATTTGGACCCGATCAGCCTGAAGGGAGTTTCCGAACGGCGGCGTTACTCTTCTTGGAATACTAAAAAGGGCCAAACGACTCGAAGGCGCCTATGCTAGCGCTCAGAACCTTTTCCACTGACTTTCCCATCCATGTATATGTTCCCCGAGCCTGTCGTTTTCAGATAATTCATGAATTATGATAGCGGCATATCGATGTCGGTTTACATAGACATTATGAGGCGCCTAGAGATAGATATGAGCAGTGCCACGCTGGTGCGAGCTTGCGAGCCGCCTGAGTGGAAGGCAATGAAGAGGAGTGGCGAGCAGGTGTGGGTCGTCCTGTAGACTGCTGCAATCAAATCGGCACAGCCACATCAATTCAGCGACTCTGGCTCTGCCTCTCGACGTCGCCTCTCGCGTTCAGCTACCCCTGCCCACATCGATTCGCAAGCCCGCCCATCTCCTCCTGTTCCGCTTACGCTGGATTGCTCCGGGTCTCGTTCCTCGGGACCCGTGGCCGCCTTTGCGTACGGGTTCGGTCCCGCACCGCGCTTCGTTCTCCGATCCGGACTTTCCCGCAGCTCTTCCGTTGTCTCGCGAAAGCCCGCTCCTGGGACGGCCGAACCCCCGCACACACACACCCTTCCTCTTCACGTCTCGTCTCACAGGCGCACAGCGCCGCTTTCCCGTCTCGTCTCGCAGGCGCGTAGCGCCGCAGCCTTCCTTCTCCCACACCGGGGCCACGAGCTCTCCACCTACCTTGCTCAGTGACTCACTGAGTGAATAGCGGCGGTGTTCGACGTCGAGGTTCAGGAAGAGGCTGGGCGGCGCTCGGTTCTTTCCGGTTCAATCGCGCTAGTGCGGTTCAAATTGAGTATTCGCGCATTGATTTTACCGGCTCAAATTTATTGTCGCCTAGGAAGGAACGCGTGGCACTCATCTGCTGAATTTTTAGGTGTCGGTAGTGGTTCAGTCTTTCAATGGACGAAAATCGACGAGACCAGTGTCCGAGGCACTTGAATGCACATTTTTTATTATAGCGCCTGTCCGGGAGAAAAGACCGCTGTACATTCGCCCCGGAAGCAAATGAAGACCGCGGCAGCTGTTACAATTCAAGCCAGTTCTTTCGGTTCCCTGCCGGTGCCGTAGATTTGTTTCCAATTCAAACATTTGCTGGCAGCTTCATTTTCTCCAGTACCTGGCAAGTTGCGATATTTCAAACTTGGCTGCAGCGATGCTATTGAAAGAAATCACATTGGGCCTCTCGACCTGCATCTGGGTCATACAAGGTAATGTCCTCCAAATAATCCTCGGCCGCAGACTGTCATGCACCACGGTATTCAGTTGTAGCCCGAACAGCGCTATGGAAGCGTTCCAGTTTACAGCAGTGGAACATTTCGTCGGTGGGTATTTTTTGCCATCTGCATCTAATTCTCCGCTGGTCTGGCAAGTTCATATCTGTTCTCGGTCCTTTCGAGTTCACTAGCTCATAGCAAGCTCCATCATCTAATTCTCCGTTGGTCCGGCAACTCATATCTGTTCTCGGTCCTTTCGAGTTCACTAGCTCATAGCAAGCTCCATTGATGAAATCATTCCTCCTTTCCATTCAAGTAGTTCTATCGACACTGTAATAGCGTACATCCTTTCAAAGTGACTGAACACCAACCTGGTTCTGAGTTCAAATTATTCACAGAGCGCCCACTAGTACTTCCAATTCTTTCAACTTGGAGATAAAAAATCATTGTAGCTGAAATGATATCTTGCAATGGACTTGAAATTGATTCTTCAAGTACTTCCGCGAAATCGGGATGGGGTAGGATCAAAATCATCGGCGTTGATGGGAACATTGAACCGTGGGAAATCAAGCGGCACTTGCCGGGAGTGCGTTGAAATCGCTGTTTAGCCGCCACATGTTATTCAGTCCCATCCAATCTCGCGTGAAAGGAAGCAGGGATTATTCCGTACTATCCGGGAGTAAAAGCATGACACTTGATGCAGCCTCATTCACTCCCAGAGAACAAATGATCGCAATTCAACAATCAATTCAACCTCTCAACCTCTCCGCCTTGAAAGCCAATGATGCACTACCTCACAACTACCCTGCCTCACCACCCATCCTCCGAATTGGTGTAGGGGTTAACATTGCCGCCTCTCACGAAATTTAGGTTTACATAAACCCAATGGGTGCGCGGCAGCCCGGGGTTCGATTCCCCGATTCGGAATTCTTTTTGCTCCTACCTCAATTTGTGGTGGGCAAAACTTCTTTTTTTTTTTCGGTGCGCGGTAGGAGGAGCGAGGGGACGGTTCGTGTGTAGCAGTTTTTTGGAAGGAGAGCGATCGGAAGTTGATATTGATTGGGAGTTCTTTTTTTGTTTTGTTTGAAGAAAGAGTTTTGTTTGTAATATGGGCGCTACGGAATGTCAATTGGACTTTCGATCCCAAAATCCGAGTCCCGGCCGAGATGAGTGGATCAGGTATTGAATTTGAGAAAACTACTGAACTACCTAAAACACAGTCTAAATAAATAGGTATTCTAATGTCCTTGTAGTAAATACCTTGTTCTTAATATTTACTTTCCCTGGTGACACAAAATAGTATCTACCTTGTACTCGTCACCACAAAAAGTGACCGGCCACTGCATTCCTCTCAAATAATCGGGTTGCTGTGGGAAAACATGTACTCCAAAGCTTCCATAAGGTATTCCCTGATCCTAAATGATAGAAAGAACCAGCCATTCCTGTTGATCTGTGTGAAAATTAGAGATGTATCAATTTTTTCCATCAAAGGTGTAATTTTCATCAGGATTAATTTCTTTCTGCAGATTCATAGGATGAGCCGCGTCCCTTGAAATTTTGTTTATGCATTTTAGGACATGAAACAATATTTTAGCGGTCAAAAGGCTTTGAGAAATGTGGTTTGAATCGTTGTCAATGGCCAAATACTGGTATTTTCTTGATTTATTATTGTGCTAAGTGTGGGACCTGTACCACCACAGCCTACACCAAATTAGTTGTAGATTCATAATATGCCCATGAGAATACATGATATTCGATTTGTGTGCCTCTGCAACTAAATGGCCGGTTACTTTGTGTGATGATGAGTATCTGTAAACTGAACAATGGCCGCACCTGGCCATACTCAGGTCATCAGGTTCAACCGCTTTAAATGCTGCAGACTGGAAACCACTGAATCCGAATCCACAATGCCAAAGTGGATGGCTGTATCTGTTACAGGTCCAAACTCCCCTCAAATTTAGTCACAGGTAAGTGGGGTCTGTCTTTTCCTCAAGCGAGTTGGAAAAGACTCTGAATTGACTTGGTACTTTCCTTCACCCTATGGTGATATCCATATACTTACAGCTGAATGCCGCATATTTTACACAGATAGGTAGTGCTACACTGTCGTTTGAACACAGAATGTGAAGTTTGAAGATGAGGTCACCTACTTTTTTGAATTTGCAACAAACAACTTGGTGACCGAAGAAAATCATATGTCAGTAGTCTCTTGAGTGTTGGATGTCAATATGTATTTCAGGACAACTCTGTTGGGGTCCATTACCCTCTGAATCACTCGGACCTCACAAAGCTGGTTTCAAATTTGAAATGGGGTAAAACATTCTGTATGCAAATTCTATAATGTTTGTAGAACAGTGTTCCAAGAAATCTTTTTCTCATGAAGAGACAGACCGGGATGGACATAGGCAAAGGTGGAGTTTTGAATTGTATTGGTGATAGTTAGCCCGGGATTTTATGGGGCTGAGTCTCCTTTTGCTCTTCTCTCTCATTCAGATTCAGATTCTTCTCTGAGCTGGTCCTCTTGCAACCAGAGCAACTTCCCTTTCACAGTCTATTGAAAGTTGAAAGGGATATAAATTTATTCAGTGGATGCATATTTTGCACCCACTATTCAAGAATTGGAGTAGGTCAGGGAATCTGTAGCCCATGAGACTGTGAGTAAGTGTATGCATTATGAACTGGACATTGGGACATTCATTACTGCAACAAATGAGGTGAAAGGTGCTATCAAAGAGGCTGAGAGACGTGCAGACAGATGAGGTTGCTGCTCCTGGAGCAAGAGTTGCAGTCAAGGCAACCACCAATGCTGAGCTAGGGTAAGGCTCATCACGATTTAACTCGCAGGTGATCCAGATCCGTGACCATGGGTACCTGTGTTGTCCAGAGCCATACTCGGATCCATGGGAAACCCACATTCACAAGTACTTGACTCGTGGGCTGCGGGTTTTCCATGGATCAACTCATGGGTATTTTTCATCTTTTGCTATTTTTCAGCTGAAAGTACAAGTTTAAAGCACTTTCAAAACTTGTGAGTTTAACCTTTTTTCAAAAATCACTACTCGGATCCGTGACTGACCTGTGGCCGCAGGTACCCAAACCTGTGAGTCAGGTTTCCCACAAGTATTTCCATGGGTCAACCCGCAGTGATTCGCAGGTGACCCGCACTCATGATGAGCCTTACAGCCAATAGCAGTACCAAAGGTGCAAACAAAAAAAATCGGTTTTGGGATAGTTTCGGAGAATTCCTGATATCTCAGTCAGTTCTTCACCAATTCACATAGTAACTAGATAGATCTACTCGGCTAATTCATGCGCAATTAATAAGAGAGAGAGATTTGTGAAAATATTATGTATTAGGTAATTTCTGGTTTCAGGCTGTTTTCACACCAAAAGCTGTCTAGCATGCCAAGAACATGTCCCAGTGGCCTAATATTTTAGTATGGACAACACCTATGGCTAATAAAACATGTGATAGAGCCAGAAATATATAATATTCCTAGTAAATGTAATCTTTACAATATCTCTGAATGCCAAAACTGGCAAATGTATTTAAGGGAGATAGAGAAATCTTACGTGACATATCCGCATTTCTGACTCTATCACATGTTCCACTAGCTATAGGGTTTGTCCATACCAAAATATTAGGCTGCTGGGACATGTTCTTGGCTAGGGCTGTTCGCCGTACCGTATACGGAATACGGCCGTACAATTACGGCAGTCATACAGCTGTCTCGCTGACCGTACCCGTACCGTAAACGCTACCTTCGGGAGGTCATACGGTACAGTACAGCGCCGTATACGGCCGTATACGGCTATTGTACGGCTATACGGCGGTACTTCAATTGGTAAAAACATTACGAATGTATAATATATAGCGGTACAAAATATTATTCATGCTCCCCGAGGCGTGCAGTGATGTCTCTGCGAGCCATGCGCAACTGATTTTTTTACCAACATGTGGATCCGGATAGTCTCAGGCTTGAGAGTAGAGCGACGCAGGCTAATGGAATCACGCCCGCCGGAAAAGACACGTTCAACAGCAACAGCAGATCCTAGATTGGCACTGTTAGCCCGCTAGAAATAAGAATGTGTTGAGCATACCAGGAATAGACAACATGTCCAATGCGAGACAATGAAGGGTGCGGAATGCGCAGGGGTGCATATGGCGTAGATATATAATATCGGAAATTTGGAGTTAACCAAAGCCCTTGGCCTGCAGCCAGTGCCCGAGAACGCAGTCAAAGGAGTTGAAGATTTGTAGAATTGCAGAGCATTAATTTAAGTCAATCATTGGAGGACCAGGAAATACAAAAGAACATACTAGTTGTAGAACCGTGGAAACTGAGGAGGGTTGCGTGCGGCGAAGCTGCGGGCGTCAAAGGCAAGAAGTGTTGGCGCGTTACTGATAACGCCGAACACAGCCTGTTGATTGCACAGCGAGTCGGCTATCGCCCGAGGATGCCGAGCATGATTGCCGACAATCACCGTATACGGCCGTATACGGCCGTTCCGGTACGGCTCTTTACGGTGCCGGGCCGTACCGGTGCCGTACCGTACATTCACCTAGGATTTGGCTGTACGGTACGGCTACGGCGCCGTATTTACGGCAATAATTACGGCCGTATTACGGCTACGGCGCACAGCCCTATTCTTGGCATGCTAGACAGCTTTTGGTGTGAAAACAGCCTGAAACCAGAAATTACCTAATACATAATATTTTCACAAGTCTCTCTCTATTAATAATTGTGCATGAATTAGCTGAGTTGATCTATCTAGTTTTTATGTGAATTGGTGAAGAACTGACTGAGATATCAGGAATTCTCTGAAACTACCCCAAAACCGAATTTTTTTGTTTGCGCCTTCGGTACTGCCATTGGCTGTAAGCTGGGGAAACAGCCGCGGAAGAAGCATCCAAATATGCGTACTTGAATCGAGGAACAAAATCAGAAAATATTCAAGTGTCTGTCTGCGAGAGACCAGAAAATAATCCCCACTCCAGAGTCCAGACTTCTGTCAGAGCGATTCTTTGCAAGGCTCGACTCTGGCCGGAGGGATTCAAATCACTCGATTCGGCGTCGACATGAATAACGAACGAGGGTTTGAATCAGCCATCGTAAGCCTCAGCTAATCCTGCCGACAGCTGTCACTCGTTTCTATTCTTGACTGTGAGTTCTTCGTGACCCGTGCCAGCAACGACACACGGGCGCTTACCTTCTCAGACGAGACTCCTCACGGCAAAGGCATTCACTGCCTCCCCCTCATCATGCCTCAAGAGCTCGACCTGCTTCTTACAGCTCTCGCCGCTGTATTTGTTGTGCATTGTTACTACAGCGTCACGGACACTCCTCCTCCCTCTCCACACTTAGCGGGTCTGTCCCAGTCACCGAATCGCGCGATCCTGTATTATTTAAAAAACTGGTAGATTACCCACCGACACATGATTCTCCAAAAAGAGCCTACGTTGCTGAAGAGCCGGGAACTTCTCAGACCCATACATTTGGCGAGTCGCTCAGACCATGATTCAAGTTCCTATTCCTCATCCCACTTACAGACACCCTATCCACGGAGGGAGTATGCATCGAAGGGATGCCCGGGACATACTCCCATATCCCCGCATTTGGCGAGTCTCAGCCCCTTATCCAAGCCCACATTGCTTACAGTACTGACAGAGGAACCGTCCCGCGCCTATTATGAAGCAACCGAAGATACCGGTTTTTCGGGCGAGGCTTCGGTCCTCTGGGATCACTCCCAGACCGTTGAGTGCGGCGGTTGCCCCAGGGAAATTCCGGCATCAGGTCTCAAGTGCCCCGGATCCGGCTGCACCGAAGTGTATTGCAGCCAATCATGTCTCGGTAAATCCGCTGATGGTCATGCTCGTTATTGCACGAATCCCTACCGTGCTCTTACCACCGCGGATACGTTGGCGA